GACCGGACCCCTAACCTCGAAGACTTGATCGAGAATGCTGTTCGGTGACTTAGATTCTGCACTTGACACTTCATCGAACTCGGCACCATGCTGTTCAACTCTTACATCCTCATCGTCTGACAACAAAACGATGGGAAATTCAGCGGATGAACCCAGTATGGGTGGATGCATATTGGAGTTGAATGTTTCATTGCTAGAGGTGGATGAACCCATTATCTCGTATCAACTACCTGTTTCAAAATGGAAGCCTCACAACAGCTTTAATGACATATGAAATGTAATTTGATAGACAATGCTTGTAATGCATTCATTATGATAGTATTAATGTATTGGAAATACTTGTTACTTGCAAAAAATCATAAACGTATAATATCTACAATAGCATGTTACACTAAGACACTTGTATTGGAAAATCCCACCATTTTCAATTATCGAAACGCAAGGAACTTATAAAATTTAATGGCCCGCCTAGTTGAACTGTCGGGCCCGACAGATGTTTTCTTCCTTCTCGACAGTTGACGAAAACGTGCATTGCAATAAAGATCGTATAATTTCGAATTTTGGTAAACTGCAGAATAAATGAAGAAGAATAAATAGAAGTAGCTCTTTCTTACCACAATGTTGTTCAACTACGTTGAAAGTGTCACAATGATCTGTAGGTAAGTTCAAAGTGACACAATACCTTGGCTCCAAAATTGATTGTAAGCAACAATGGTCTCCTGGTATTTGTAATCATCCTGAAAGAAGGAAGTAATTACTTCATTTATCTACCCAACCACCAAGTTCAATTCTAAATAAATTTGAAAAGCAATTGGTGTGATGGTTAATATAATAAGTGTACTTTTATCCCCCATTGTACCATCATTACTATGACATTGGCAGAGACTAAAATACTTCAATGATGTGTAAAATTCATATTATCTGGTTGCTTGCAATAAATTACTTCTCATTTGCCAACTTCTTAGTTGCACCATGGTTGTAATGGTACAGTTTCTCACAAAACCCTCTCATCATGTTAACCCACATAATAACATACGAAGGACAACGGAATATACATAAACTCATTCGTCAATTAGTTGTAGTGGCACTTTTAATGGGTCCTCATCTTAATCCAATCTATAGTTTACTAAGGAACTACGACATTCAAGCCCGCTATCTACTTGTAAATGGATATTCGTAAAACGTACGCATACATAATTTTTTGCGCAATACAATGTACGAGCGTTGACGAACATTGAATGAAGGCACTTAGTACCGTAAGTACGATTGACATAACATAATAAAGTCGGATAACTAATACAAGTTGTAACACTACAATAATTTCAGCAACGGTAAACCGTGACAAGGCATTCACCACGGGAATTGCAAAATGTGATGAATGCTTCTAAGTGTCACCAAGCTTGCCAACTACCTTGTCTGATATGTAAATCACAAAAATGAATGAAAAAGGCACCAATATAACGCGAAGTAACTAACATCCTTCACCACGTAAATTACATCAAACAAAAGACAAAAGCATGCTGAACCCCATCATCGTGCTATGTTCGGCAATTTATCCACAATTACTAATGTTTTTGCTTTGCGCTCCCCCTCGTGTATGGAATCCTGGTAGCAGGTGCCGGACGTCGCAGTCATGCGGATCGCCATCTATTTGTCGTAACAGCCCGTCCTAGTCGGGCTACATCGGCGGGAACTGGGAAAGTTACAACGTAAGCAAATGAAACGAAAAATAAATTCAATTGTCAAAAATTAAGGCAATACCTTGCACTTCATCCACTGCAGCGAGCGCTAGCACGAGGTCATTGTCGGGGCATGGCTCAATGTGTACTGTGTTTGTCGAAAAGGACAATTAAATATTTTCAGTGTATAACTACATGTACGAATTTCCAAATTATGCCAAGTACATGAAACAACAATCTACAAGTTTTCCTCATAACTGACCCACATACCTTGTAGATTTATGGTTCCAGTAGGCACCATGTCTTGCTCTTTCTCACGGTCGCCAGGCGATGGGTGGTGGGCCCCTTTGACTACAACAAATGAACAATTGTAAACTAATCGAATGCCTGAAATAATATTTGTTCAAATCGTGAAAAATAATGCAATACCTTGCACTTCTTCGATTGTAGAGGGCTCTGGCACTGGGCGATCCTCCGGGCACGGCTGAATGTGCGCTATGTCTATTCAGAACAACAACGAAACAGCGAATGGAAAGTGAATTTTAACAATTTTCAAAACTTCCGAAACACATGAAATAATAATTAATCAATTTGCTCAAAAATAACCGACGTACCTTGCAGACTTTCGGTTCTAGTGGCCAGTGGCATATCCTGCTCGTCCAGGCATGGCTCCATGTGTTCTTCATTAATGCACATACCATCCCCCTCTTGCCTGTCAATCCCCATGTCTTCGTCGATACCGTCAAGCGACGGGTGGTGGCCTGCAAAGCCTCCGTAGTCTACAATGAATGAACAATTGTCATACAGAACATGTCAGTGAGCAGGGATAAAGTGAACATTGTCATAAAGAACTGTAGTACGCATATGGTGAAGTACCTGATTGTCTGGGCTTGGGGTCCACATCAGTCGCACATGCAGTGGTTGTAGAGCCGGATGCTGGGACGATGGTGGATATGAAGTCCTTCAATTTTTTAAATTCATCGGACATGTGCTGCATGAGTTCGAGCTTCACAGTGCGGAGCCGCATTTCGAACAGAATTCTTTGATCTAGCAACATGCCCTGAACATCGTCTGTTGTGAGGCTTGATCCAGCCGCTGCAGCAGGTCGTACATGAGAGGTGGACGGTGCCATGGGAGAAGTAGCTCTATGCTGGTGGGAGGGGGGGAAGTCCCCATCTGTCCACTTCGTCCAACTCGATCACTGTCACTATCCTCATTGTTGTCCTCCTCCGAGCCCCACCTTCGTCCTCTTCGTTCTCATTAGCTCCTGACTCCTCCTCCTCACCACTGGTCTCCCCACCGTCATGGGCCTCCTCAGAAGTATCACCCTCGAGGGTGCCTATACGCTCTGCTTGGAACTGCGGAGCAACACTGTCCCTAGCAAGGTCATCCAACGCCGGGACAGGATCATCATTGAGCAGCACAAGAGTTGCGATATGAGGTTGCCCACGCTCAGTCTTGGTGGGCCGTAGTGTTGCGGACACGTGCAGCTACAACGTGAACATATTCGTTACGAAATAACCACATGCTACAATGACGAATGGAAGGTATGAGATCGTAGAAGTAACATAATTTTTTACCTGTACATTCTTGAAGAAATCGTCGTACGTACGCTGCTGCAGCTGTTTTGTTGATGTCCAGTTGAGAAGCCATGGGGAACGTTCCCCAAGACGCTAACCGAAGCGATCACCAATTTCAGGCACCACCTCGAACGCCCATATCTGTCAGAGAAAAAAGGAATGTGAGTTCAAAACGAAACCAACCATGAAATACATTTGCATTGAAATAACTAGTAGGTAAAATAAAGATACATGTATGGCAATGGGAAAGCCGTGGACCGTGTAGCTAACCGCCTTCTCCTTTTTCTTCGTCGCATCCAAAAATTTTCTTGCCCAACGGCCCCGAAAGCCCTTTAGCAGCCGTCCATACGAGATTCTACCCCAAGGATACGAAAAGAATAAGTCTAGATCGTCGACGATCGACAACGTCTCCATGTCGATACCAACGTTGTTATCCAGAGCATTGAAGACTCCTTCGATGATCAAAGCGAGGCCAAGCTTGTACCGATCGGCTCGAGGTGTTGACGATCGAAGAAATGTCTGCTCGAGTTGGGCGCAAGAAATCTTGTCCACATGTTTAAAGTATTAGTCCTTTAGTCTCCTCTTCTCAAGAACTTGGTCCATGACATTGTCATCCGGGAGAAGACCACACCTTAATCCAGTCACAAGGGCATACTCTTGAATTCTGAACCTGGCGAGGTGGCCTTGCAAATTAAACCACAGTTCGTGCCGCTTCTTTGTTTGTATGCAGTAGAATACGAGTTGTTGGATTAATTGGGCAGAGAACTGGAGATCTGGAACCTCGGACAAGAACCCAAGGCATGAGTTGCGAAACTCTTCTCGCTATCGCTCGTCAAAATGTTCCACGACTATTTTTATATACCACAGATTGCTTCTCTGCGATATGTGGCCCCGCAAGCGTGCATTCTCTGGAACAAGAGGCTCGAAATCCATGTCTACAAAGACAAAATAAGAAAAAATAGCGTCATACCACAATATAAACTTCCTCCCAGCATTGAAACGGAAGATATTCCCACATCAAACATGATTTCCACATCAGAAATTGTTGCATGCAAAAAATAAAATGAATACTGATATCTGAACGCATATCACATAGAAATATAATTTTCTACTGGTAGGCCCTAGGCAGGCAGGAACTGAACTGTCGGTCCTGACATTTTATCCGTCGACGGTTCATCTGTCGAGAATTACAGAGGATAACTGTCGGGTACAACAGTTGAGAAACAACTATGGATAGATGAACTGTCGGGAAATCCTGTTTTGAATATGTTCCTGGTTATTAACATATTTTGATCATACAAAACAAAAAATAACTGCAACTGCAAAGAAAAGACCAATCTTTGAACCAATGGAATGAGCTGTTTACGGCTAATATGTAGAAATTTAAAACCCTGTGCTTGTCCTATTTACACAGTATAACCCCCCCTCAAACTTGCTAAAGTTGCATATGTTTTCTTAAAAACCCATACAATTTGTAATGCATATTTCTAAACCACAAGCTTATTCCATATTAAATCTAACAAGCAAATTATTTTATTGTACAAAATTAGTAAGAACAGTTGCTGGTCAATAAAATAGTTGTTACTAACCCAAAACATACTTCTTCCCAACTGGAACAACTGGAGATTCATATTTCCAAGGTTAAAGAAGAAGCTTTTAGTAGAAAAGATATACTTGAAAAACTTTAAAAATGGTTGGCTACTTGTGAAGAGGAGTGCTGGCTGGAAGACTATAATAGCGTGGGATATATGTTGCTCAAGTGAAATGACTTGTACTATTGTTTTTTTTTTTATCTATTTTCATCTCTCTTACTCGCTATCTAAAATGATCCTAATTTACGATGAAAATCGTTATAATGCTGGGAGAGGTAACTATCTTATGCTAAAGCGTGCTGAGAAAGCTCGAGCTCTTATTACCAATTCCAGGTACATATCTCAGTTTTTAATATAATTGTGGTGAGGTGGGAAATATGTTTAATGTGTTGGGGGAGCCATATGTTGTATATGGTATTTAATGGTATATGAGCAGCTTTGCCAATTGCCTCCGATTTATTAAATTTCCAATTCTGAGAGACCCAAATAACCAATAAAATAATGCCAGGTTCTAAAGTTTGGCAATCTCCTTTACTTTGACTCCGGATGTTAAATTTAGTAATATGGCGCGAGGAGTTAATTTGATTTCTTTGAAACAGAGGGTCAATGAACAGTAGAGCATCTGGTTTTAAAATAAATATTTGTTGATGCCATTAAGTTTCTCTCTCATCAGAATATCATGGAGGTAAGATCACGGGTTAACGTGTATGATGAACGTGAGAAAATAATTTCTTTTTCATTTTGAGATTCGGGGAAAGATAACCTTTGATAGTTTATTTGGTATTCTTATGGAGCAACATCACTTTTCTCTCATTTCTGTATGTGTTTGAATAGATGAACTTAGTGACTTTGGTTTGGTTGGTTTCATAGAGATGGTGGAAACATTGAAACCTAAATTGAAAGCTTGGGAGGAAGAAAGAGGTTTTCAGTTCTTCTATGATGGTGTAAGCATTTCTCTTGCTAGAAGTACCTTACTTGACAAACTGATCTCATTAGGAAGATTTCATCTTCAAAGAGCAAACTTATTTAGAGAAATAGTATAAGCCCTTATATGTTGGTTTATATTTGTATGTTTGTTCGATATTTGCTTTTTCTTTAGGCAACCTATGTATATTGAATTACTTCTTCTAACAGTTTCAGTTGTTAAAGAGGAATGTGTTTATTAATTTAATTTTAGTATTCAAGACGCCTCTCATGTGCAAGATAGATGAATTTTTCATCAAAAGGTGTAGTATAAGTGGGTAAAGACAATACTTGAATTTGGAACCTTGCTCTGATACTTTCATGAACCATCTTATCTATTATGGTTGATTCTTGGTTCATCCCCAGCAACAGTTATTGCAACTGTGAATGGAACTAAGCAAGGTAAGGCAATCAGAGTGTAAATTAGTCATAGTAAGAGTTTAAATGGCATCAAGAATTCATATTCAAATTTCTCGAAGTGAGATAGCATAATCAGTTGATGATATATATAGAAATTGAGTCTTCTTTAAAATGAACAAAAACAATGCATTGCTTTAGGTACTTATTATTTTTAGATATACAGTATCGTAACAAACATTTTCCATTCTCAAACTCTTCTTTCTTTTAAGGAGGATTGCATATGGATGTAATTCAAGAAATTGAGATGGGGGCTTGTGAAGATGAAATGAAGACAGAAAAAAAGGATTCAAACGGTTTTAGGCCTCCTTCATTACAAGTTTTGGATCATGTAAAGATCAATATGGAACCAGACACCCCAGTTTCGACTCTGAAAAATGTCATCATGAGTTCAAAATCTGATCTATCATTCA